GTCTCTCTCTGTCTCTGTCTGTCTCTCTCTGTCTCTGTCTCTGTCTCTGTCTCTGTGTGTATCTCTCTCTGTGTCTCTCTCTGTCTCTCTGTGTCTCTGTCTCTGTGTGTGTCTCTCTCTGTCTCTGTCTCTCTCTGTCTCTCTTTCTCTCTGTCTCTGTGTGTGTCTCTCTCTGTCTCTGTCTGTCTCTGTCTCTCTGTCTCTGTCTCTGTGTGTATCTCTCTCTGTGTCTCTCTCTGTCTCTCTGTGTCTCTGTCTCTCTGTGTGTGTGTCTCTCTCTGTCTCTGTCTCTCTCTCTGTCTCTCTTTCTCTCTCTGTGTGTGTCTCTCTCTGTCTCTGTCTGTCTCTCTGTCTCTGTCTCTGTGTGTATCTCTCTCTGTGTCTCTCTCTGTCTCTCTGTGTCTCTGTCTCTCTGTGTGTGTGTCTCTCTCTGTCTCTGTCTCTCTCTCTGTCTCTCTTTCTCTCTCTGTGTGTGTGTCTCTCTCTGTCTCTGTCTGTCTCTCTGTCTCTGTCTCTGTGTGTATCTCTCTCTGTGTCTCTCTCTGTCCCTCTGTGTCTCTGTCTCTGTGTGTGTGTGTCTCTCTCTGTCTCTGTCTCTCTTTCTCTCTCTGTGTGTGTGTCTCTCTCTGTCTCTGTCTGTCTCTCTGTCTCTCTTTCTCTTTCTCTCTCATTCTGCCGCCTTTCAGATACATAAAATAAATCTTAAAAAGGAAAAGAGCTGGGGGCTGCTAGACGCTTTGCCTGCAAACGCCCACCCCCACGCATCACCCCAAGCCCCCATGCAGCCCCTACATCTAGGCCCAGGGCTGTGCGTCCTCCTCTGGTGTGCCCTCCTGGGTTTCCCCTGCACCCCGCTGGCTCTGGGCGTGCTCTGGCCGGACAAGGACGAGGCGGGGTGGAGGCAGGGAGGAGGCCTCCCCCACCGCAGCCTCTTCCCTCCCACGTGCCGGGCACATGCAGTGGCCTGTGGCCACTTCCCCACACTCGCCGCCCCGCCCCAGCCGTTCCGAGCCGGCTGACATCTGGAGTGGGGCTCCCAGGGCCCGTCTGTGGCTGGGCCGGGATTTGCATGCGAGTACAAATAGATATGCAGAGCCCGGGCCGCCGCCCCCGCACTGCTGCCTGGCGTTTCACACCTGGGCGCGGGACAGGTCCACGCGAGCGGCCCGATTTGCATGCGCGTGTATTCTGGGCAGGCTGTCAGCTGGGGGCGTCTGAGAGGAAGTTATTGAGGGAAGAGGGGGGGGATGGTGTCGGCCGTGTCTGTCTCGACCAAATCTCTGCTCCCTCCCAGGTCTGACTTCTACTCTGGAGGTGACCAGGGTGGATGGGCATAGCGCCAGGGCCACAGTCACGCCTGGAAGGGAAGGCTGAGGGTTTCATGGGTACTTTGAGATGGGTTTTGCAGGGTGACTAGGAGTTGGCCGAGTGAAGACGTTGGCAAAGGGCTTTCCAGGCAGAAATGGAGAGTGCAGCAGCCTGGTTCTACATTTTTACTTCTCAGTATTTATTTTAAGATTTTTTTTTTTAATTTGAAAAGCAGAGTGACAGAGGGAGAAACAGAGAAAGAGAGAGGTCTTCCATCCACTGGTTCACTCCCCAAATGGCTCCGACGGTTGGGGCTGGCCCAGGCTGAAGCCAAGGGCCAGGAGCTCTCCCCCGCAGGTGCAGGGGCCCAAGCACCGGGCCGGCCTCCGCTGTCTTCCCAGGCGCATCAGCAGGGAGCTGGATTGGAAGCAGAGGAGCCGGGATTCGAACCAGCGCTCCGACACGGGATGCCGGCGTCCCAGGCGGCAGCTAGGACACGATCCCGGTCCCTGAACTTTTACTTATTTATTTTTATGTATTTGCAATGCAGAGTGACAAAGACACACACACACACACACACACACCTTACACCTACTGAGGCTGGGCCAGGACCCGAGCCAGGAGCCAGGAGCCCGGAGCCCGGAGCCGGGAGCTCCATCCGGGTCTTCCGCATGGGTGGCAGGGACCCGGGCCCTGAAGCCGGCGCTGCTGCCTCCCAGATGCGCATGCGCGGGGAGCTGGCGTCAGGGGCGGACCGGGGGCTTGAAGCCAGGCCCAGCGACGTGGGATGACGGTATCCCAGGCAGCACCCAAACGCCCGCGCCGGGGAGCTACCTGGGCAGGGACCCTGAATCCCAGGCTGGGGACTGGACACTTTTCCTGAGGGCAGTGGGGAGCCATGGGGAAGCCGGGGGCGAGGCGGGCCCCGGCCGGAGCTGCGAGCGGCTGGGAGAGCCAGAGTTGGGGTGGCCTTTGCCTCCTGGGCGATGACATGGGGCGTTCAGGGTCATCGGGGGTCGGGGCAGCAGCCGGGGCCCCTGTGCACCTGTCTGGCCTGGCCCCGGCGATGGTGCAAAACCCGCAGGGGCCTGGGAGGACACAGCCGCTGAGAGTGGGCGGCACAGGCTGGGCCCGACAGGTGCAGCCCCAGCCCCCACAGCCACGGCTGGGAGGTTGTTTTTTCTCTTTTGTTTTTTCTTTTCTTTTCTTTATTTTTCTAAGATTCACTTATTTATTTGAAAGGCAGTTAGAGAGAGAGAGAGAGAGAGAGAGAGAGAGAGAGAGAGAGAGAGAGAGTCTTCCATCTGCTGGTTCACTCCCCAAATGGCCGCAACAGCCGGAGCTGTGCCCATCTGAAGCCAGGAGCCAGGAGCTTCTTCTGGGTCTCCCACACAGGTGCAGGGCCCAAGCACTTGGGCCATCCTCCACTGCTTCCCAGGCCATAGCAGAGAGCTGGATCAGCAGAGGAGCAGCCAGGACTCGAACCGGTGCCCATATGGGATGCCAGCGCCGCAGCCAGTGGCTTTACCCACTGCGCCACAGCACCGGCGCCCACAGCTGGGTGTTTAGATGAGAAATAAGAGGCGGGCGTGGGGGGGGCAGTGGGTTAAGCCACCACGCGGGCCGCCCACACCCCGTCCTGGACAGCCTGGATTGAGTTCGGCCTCTGTGGCTGGCCCAGCTCCCTGCGCATGCGCACCCTGGGAGGCGGCCGTGCCGGCTCCAGTGCCTGGGCCCCCGGATGGAGCTCCTGGCTCCTGGCTTCCGCCTGCCCAGCCCTGGCTGTTGGGGGCACTTGGGGAGTGGACCAGCGGATGGAGGTTCCTCTGCCTCTCTGCGCTTCAACGAAAAACTGTTTTCAGTGATAAATCGAACCCCATCCCATTTCTGCTCGGAACTCTCTCCTACTTCCCCATGGCTCCTGGACATAAACCCTCAGCCCGACCCTCGGCTCAGAAGGCCCAGGGGGCCCAGGCTTTGTGGCCCCCCCTGCCCTCTCCCTCACGCCAGCCCCCTGCCCACCTCCCCCACGCACCTGCTGTTCCCACTGCCTGGAACTCACTTCCTGTTTCCCCTCTCCACTCTCAGTTCAGTGCAGACCCCCTGCCCTCTGGCTCTGGGGTGGGGTGGGGGGCTGCAGAGCCACATGACCCCTGCCCCAGCTACAGTGTCCATGGCTAAAATGGGACAGAGTGGGTCAGTGCTGCGGCTCACTAGGCTAATCCTCTGCCTGCGGCGTCGGCACCCCAGGTTCTAGTCCCGGTTGGGGTGCCGGATTCTGTCCCGGTTGCCCCTCTTCCAGGCCAGCTCTCTGCTGTGGCCCGGGAGTGCAGTGGAGGATGGCCCAGGTGCTTGGGCCCTGCACCCCATGGGAGACCAGGAGAAGCACCTGGCTCCTGCCATCGGATCAGCACGGTGCACCGGCTGCAGCGTGCCGGCCGCGGCGGCCATTGGAGGGTGAACCAACGGCAAAAGGAAGACCTTTCTCTCTGTCTCTCTCTCTCACTGTCCACTCTGCCTGTCAAAAAAAGAAAAGAAAAAAAGGGACAGAGTGGGGAAGGGACCAGAGTCAGGTCTCCCAGGTGGGACCGACAGACCCAGCCGCTGTCCTCGTGGGACCCAGGGCATGGTGGTGGTGGGAGTGAGCTTCCGGAATCATCTTGGCACTGGGGCCTCCAGCCCAGTGCCCCCTCCAGCCCCCCGGGAGCCGCCGTCGTGGGGGCAACGGATCCCAGCCGTGGGAACACGCACCCGATTCCGGCTGGGGATCAAGTTTAGCTCCAGAGGTTAAGTTCAGCAGGTGAGGTCAGAGCCGCAGGGCTGGGCCCACAGCCTGGGTCTCCAACACTTGCGATGGCTCGGGGACCTGGCCCAGAGAGGCCGGGGGTGCGCCCAGGGCGGCACAGCCCGCCTGGAGGAAGAGGAGGGCACACTGCCCAGATCACGTGGGCTGGAGGCCGGGACACAGCTGTTCTAAGGACAGGGCCGGGTGAAGCTGCTGTCCGTGGCGCCGGCTCCAGTCCTGCCTGCTCCGCTTCCGAGCCAGCTCCCTGCGCATGCGCACCCGGGAGGCAGCAGGTGGGGGGCTCCAGGGCTTGGTCCCCTGCCACTCGCGTGGGAGACCCGGATGGCGCTCCGGGCTGCCGGCTCTGTCCTGGGTCAGCCCTGGCTGTTGTGGGCATCTGGGGGGAGTGACCCAGGGGATGGGAGAGCTCTCTCTCCCCTCCCTCTCTCTCTGTTGCTCTGCCTTGCACATACCTATATTGGTCTTTTGAAGTAACCGTCGACATGGCCCCCGTCTCGCTCGTGGGGGCAGGTGTGGAACTGAAGGAGCCGGGCTGTGCTTGACTCGGCCTGTGGGGGACTTGTCTGCGCTGCCCAGGGCTCCTGGGAGCAGCTTGTGTGTGGTACCTGCTGTGTGACAGGCGGGTCCCAGTGCCCGACGCGGGTTAGCGCAGCTCCGCTCGGGGCGGCCTTTTAGGCTCTGGGCTGGGGGCGTCTGGACCTCGCATCTCCACCCTCCCGCGCGCAGCTGTCTCCCGGGGGCTGGCCAAGGGCGGGGCCTCCCCTTGGGACCTGGCAGAGGTGGGGGTGGGGGGAGAGGGCAGGACAGCCCCAGGGCCTGCGGTCCTCCTCCTCCTCCCCCGACCCCGACCCGCCGCCCACTCTTGTCCCTTTCCCCCACCCCCCAGGTCAAGGTCGGTCCACGAAGCCCGGGACGATGGGGAGGAAGAAAATCCAGATCTCGCGCATCCTGGACCAAAGAAACCGGCAGGTGAGCGAGGGTGGGGGCACCGGGGGGGGTGGGGCAAGGGCGTGGGGGCGAGGCAGGGCTGGCAGGGCCGCCTGGGGAGCCTGGAGAGGATGAGGAGGCACCAGGAGCCGACACAGCACCAGCAGGTCGAGATCAAGCATTTGCTGTCCGCATGACCAGAGAGAGAGAGAGAGAGAGAGAGAGAGAGGGAGAGAGAGAGAGGAGTCCAGACTGATTTGGAGGCCAAGGAAAACTTCCAAAAGAGGGAGGGCCCATTGTGCTGGGTGTTGATGCATCCCTAGGAGTTTGCCAAGCGGCACCGGGAGCAGGAGCGGCGGGGACTAAGTCGGGGGGGAGAGGCACTCAGGCCCCCCACCCCGCCCCCCGTGGCCCGGCTGCAGGTGACGTTCACCAAGCGCAAGTTCGGGCTGATGAAGAAGGCGTACGAGCTGAGCGTGCTGTGCGACTGCGAGATCGCCCTGATCATCTTCAACAGCGCCAACCGGCTGTTCCAGTACGCCAGCACCGACATGGACCGCGTGCTGCTCAAGTACACCGAGTACAGCGAGCCGCACGAGAGCCGCACCAACTCCGACATCCTGGAGGTGGGCCGGCGGCGGGCGGGGCGGGGCGGGGCGGGGGCGGGCCCGGGGCGGGGCGCTGGCTCTGACCAGGGCGGGGCGGGGCGAGGGCGGGGCGGGGACCCGGAGGTGGGGCGGGGCCCGGGGCGGGCGCTGGTCCTGACCAATGCGGGCGGGGCGGGGGCGGGGCGGGGGGGCGGGCCCGGGGCGGGGCGCTGGTCCTGACCAATGCGGGACGGGGAGGTGGCGGGGACGGGCCCGGGGCGGTGGGGCGCTGGTCCTGACCAATGCGGGCGGGGCGGGGGCGGGGCGAGGGCGGGCCCAGGGCGGGGCGCTGGCCCTGACCAATGCAGGTCCGGGGCGGGGTCAGGGGCAGGGCGAGGGCGGGGCAGGGACCCGGAGGCGGGGTGGGGCCCGGGGCGGGGCCCTGGCCCTGACCAATGCCGGGGCAGAGGGGTACCCAGGGGGTGGGGTGGGTCCAGGGGGCGGGACGGGGCCTGGGTGGGGCGGGGCAGAGACCCGAGGGCGTGGCGCTGGTCCTAACCAATGCGGGGGGCGGGGCCCTGGGCGGGGCTAGGGGCATGGCGCTGGCCCTGACCAATGCGGAGGTGGAGGCGGGGCGGGGGCGGGGCCCGGGGCAGGCATTTCTGCAAAGCGCGTGGAACTGTCCACAGGAGCTCAGGCACTGGGCATTTATTAGGCACCCACTGATTACACCGTTGGCCCGCTGCTGGGTCGTCCCTGGTCCCTTCCTCGGAGCTGCAATGTGTTGGGTTCTGGTCCATGGGGCTTGTCTGGGGCAGGCACAGAGCTGGCTGGGGGTGGTCCCCCCTCCCCCGGGACCCCCCGTAGTGCCGGCTGCAGCCCGCCGTGTCCTGACCCCCACAGACACTGAGACGCAGGGGCGTGGGCCTCGATGGGGCGGAACTGGAGCCCGACGAGGGCTCGGAGGGGCCCGGCGAGAAGCTGCGGAGGCTGGCGGGCGACGGGGGTGACCCAGCCTTGCCCAGGCCCCGGCTCTACGTAAGTGACCCCTCCCTCACCCCTGGGCCCTCCCCCCACCTAGGGACCCAGGGCTGGGAAGCCTGGAATTTTGGAGACATATTTCCGGCAGGGGAGGCTTCTTGGGTGGGGAAGTGGCCATTGTACCTGGGGCTTTGGGGCATGGATAGGAATTCAATAGCTACTCCTAATTAAGATATATTATCAATACAACATAATGAATATAACAAATAGAATAAAATGTAATGAAACAAAGAGTTCTTTTTTTCTTTGATTCCTCCAACACCCCCGGGGCGGGCGGGGGCGCAGCCCCCTCCGTGCCAACCCCCTGCTGGGTGGGGTCCCCAGCTCTGGACTTGGCATTCAGGGAAGCAGTTCAGACGGACCCTGGCCCCTCCCCCCCCCCCCCCGGCGTCCCCCTCCCCCCGCACGGGCCTCGCACCTGCCCCGTCTCTCGGCCCACAGCCCGTGGCCCCGGCCATGCCCGGCCCGGACGCGGTCTACGGGGCTTTGCCCCCGCCGGGCTGCGACCCCTGCGCGCTGGGGGAGGCGCTGCCCGCCCAGAGCCGCCCGTCTCCCTTCCGACCCGCCGCGCCCAAAGCCGGGCCCCCAGGTGAGCAGAGACCCGGGGGGGGGGGGGCTGGGGGCGGGGTCCCTGCACTCGTGGGCGGGCCCCGGATGCCGTCGGTGACGCCCCCCGCCCTCCCCAGGCCTGGCGCACCCTCTCCTGGCGCCCCCCGCCCACCTCGCCAGCAAGACGCCGCCGCCGCCGCTGTACCTGGGCGCGCCGGTGAGTGTGCGCAGGGCGGCGCGGGGCGGCTGCGGGGGCGGCTGCGGGGAGGGGGCGGCCTCAGTTTCCCCTCGTCCCCCCGCTCGCCCGCAGAGAAGCGTCTACAGCAGCCTGCAGAGCCCCGGCCCGGCCGCGGCCCCGGGACCCCCGCTGGGCAGCTTCCCCTTCCTCCAGGCAGGCCCCCCAGGTACGCCGCGCGGGGGGGGGGGCGTGGGGGTGGGCGAGGCCCTGGGCGGGGCGCTTCCATCGACCCCCTGCCGCCCCCTCCCACCAGAGTACAGCCTGGGAGACCCCCCGCCGCCGCCCCCCGGCTTGCTGCAGCCCCCCACCCTGCTCCCTTGGCAGTCGAGGGCGGACGGACCCCCGGTCGCCCCCGCCCAGCACAGGTAAGCGGATTCGGGGTCCGAGCCCCGACCTCTGCTGCCCCCAGGTGGCCATGCGTGGTACTGCACTCCACCCGGCTCTCTCTTGGGGGGGGGGGTCCCAGGAGGGAGCCGCCCGCTCGTTTCCCGGGGGCCTCCCTGGCGGTGTCCCCTCCTCCCTCGCTGACCTCGTGGCTCCGTCTCCCCCCACCCCACCCTCTCTCCCTGCAGTGGGGGCCGCAGCCTGGGCGAGGAGGGACCCCCGCCCCGCGGCGCCTCCCCGCCGACCCCTGCGGTCAACATCAAGTCCGAGCGCCTCTCCCCGGCCCCCGGCGGCCCCGGCGACTTTGCCAAGCCCTTCCCGTACCCGCTGCTGCTCGCCCGGCCCGGCCCGTCGCTGCGCCGGCTGCCCTCGGCGGACGCCTGGCCCCGGTAGCGGGAGCCGCGCGGGACCGCCTTGGAGAAGACCCCGGGGTGGGGACCTGGATTCGGATCCGCCGGCGGGGGTCCCCCTTCCCCCTCCCGTGTGCGCCCCCTCCCAATAAAGGACGAAACTCGCGGCGCCCCGGAGGACTCCGCGCCCCCTCCCCAGCGGCCCTGTGTCAGTCTGGGGGCGCCCCCGAGCCCGGGGGGGAGGGTGGGGACGGGGGGGGGAGGCGAGTGTCCAGCAGGGGGCGCCACTTGCAGCGCGGGCGTCTACCCCCTGGTGGTGTGGGGTCCCGGGCTCCCAGGGAAGCCCCCGCCCCCGGGGCCGGTCGCCATGGCTACGGTAGGACGCTGATGGGAGCCGCCAAGGCTCCTGTCCCTCTCTTTATGGCGTGTCTGTATCTGTCAACTATAGCGTCTCTCTCTACAGCTGTCAATCATCTGTCTACACCCATCATCTGTCAGTAGCCTCTCACCTAATCTGTCACCTGACCTATGTATGCATCCATCATCTAGCTCCGTCTGTGACATCTGTCAGTCACCATCTGCGTGGGAGGCCGAGGGCCGGGCGCCCCCCCATCCGCTCGTCGCCCTCCCCACCTGCATTCCCGGAGGAATGCGGGCTTTGAGGCCCCCTTTCCAGGGTGGGACAGGACATCACCTCGTGCTCGGGACCCTGGGGCAGTGGGCGCTGGGGCTGCCCGGCCAGGGTGGTCGGCAGGGGAGGTGGGGGCAGCACTCCGGCCGCTCCAGGGGTCAGGTGCAAGCTCTGGGGACGCTCCCCCCACTACCACCCCCACCCCCGTCTACAGGGGTTGAGGAATTGCCCGCCCCCCACCTGCCACACTCACAGCCCCTCACGCGAGCGACACAGGACCAGCGAGGGGGCGGTGGGGGTGGGGCGAGCGTGGCCAGAGCCGCAGGTGCGGGGTGGGGCAGGGGGGAGTCATGGCCGGAGCGCGCGCTTGCCGGTCTCTGCCTCTCACCCCCGGTTTGGACGAGAAGCACCCACAAGCCCAGCGCCCAGGGTGGGGTTTATCAAAATGCGGGCGGCTCCCTAGGGCTCTGGGGTCCCCAGGGCCGGCGGGCGGGGGGTTCTGCTTCCCCGGCTGCACTTTCCCTACCGGCCACGAGGTGGCGCCAGATGGAAAGAAAATCTAATTAAATCAGAAGCGCTTCCTGGGGCGGGGGCTCACCCCACGTTCTCAGGCCCTGCGCTGAGGACCCCTGGGCAGCTGTGCTACATGTCGCGCATGCGTGCGCGCGCGACAGTTGAAAGGCACAGGGAGAGCCACCCTCTGGCTCACTCCCCAGCTGCCAACAATGGCCGGAGCTGCGCCCAAGCCAGGAGCTCAAAATCCGGAACCCCCACGTGGGTGCAGGGACCCTGCCCGGGGCCATCACCGGCTGCCTCCCAGCGCGTGCTTCAGCCAGGGAGCTGGGTGGAAAGGCGGGGCTGGGACTCGAACCCAGGCCCTGGGATTGGCCCCCGAGAGAGAGAGAGAGAGAGAGAGAGAGAGAGAGAGAGAGAGAGATTTTCCACCTGCTGGTTCACTCCCCAGATGGACACAATGGTCAGGGCTGGGCCAGGCTGAAGCCAGGAGCTCCATCCGGGTCTCCCACGTGGGTGCAGAGGTCCAAGCACTGGGGCCATCTTCTACTGCTTCCCCAGGCCGTAGCAGAGAGCTGGATCGGAAGTGGAGCAGCCGGGAGTCCAACTGGCGCCCATATGGGATGGGGGCCCCACAGGCGCTCACTCGCCTACACCCAGTCCCACCCACGTGCGTGTCTACACTCGGGGGACACGCAGGCAAGAAGCTCTGGAAACCTCCGATCCCCGGTCTGACTTTCTGGCCTTTGGTCCGGCCACGCAGAAGCCGACCGTACCTCTAGCATCTTTTGTTGCAACAGCCGAACGTTTCCCATTTGGGGGCCGGCGCTGCGGCGGGCGCAGTGGATAAAGCCGCCGGCATCCCACAGCGACGCCGGTTCGAGTCCGAGCTGCTCCACTTCCGGTCCAGCTCTCTGCTATGTCCTAGGAAAGCTGTGGAAAATGGCCCAAGTGCTTGGGGCCCTGCACCTGCGCGGGAGACCCGGATGGAGCACCTGGCTTCAGCCTGGCCCAGCCCTGACCATCTGGGGAGTGACCCAGCGGATGGAAGATTCTCTCTTTCTCTCAGCAATTCTGCCTTTCAAATAAATCAATCTTTAAAAAGATTTCCAGAAACATTTTTTAAAATAATAAAATTTCCCGTTTTAGCTTAAACTCATTTGAGTTGATTTTTTTATGGAGTATTTATTTTATCAATTCTTGGGATGACAAAGGTGGACAAGGGCACGGCCGCCATGGGGACCCGTTTACAGAGTGTATGGGTGTGCGCCGGCAGGGGGTCCTTGTGGAATGTTCTCGACCCAGGCAGTTCTACCCTTGGCACTGTTCCGCAGGGGCAGTGTGGGAGCGGATGAACATCTTCGCGGCCAACCTCAGAAAAGCGCCGCTGAGAGGCCTGCGCCCCGGGGCGTTTGGCCATGCGGGCGTGCTGGACGCCACGGCCATCCCCGAACCCGCGCCGACTCGCCCCGCGCGTGCGAACTACAACTCCCGGCATGCAGCGCGAGCAACAGCCTCGTCCCTCGCGATTGGACGGCTCGCGGCCCGATGATTGGTCGCATGGGCTGCTCGTCATAGCAGAGTGAGGGCTCTGATTGGTTAAATTCCCTGGGCGTGCCGAGGGGGGCTGCGCGCGCTGCGCTCCGGTCGGCGGACATGGTGAGCTCTGGTCCCGCTGTGTCAGGGGGCACCCCAGGGATCTGGGGGTGGGGTCCCTGCGGGCATGGGGAATGTGGCAGGGAGCTGAGAGAAAGCCGGGCCGGGTCGAGGGGGCCTGGATGTCCGCAGAGGGGGCGAAAGGTCTCAGAAGCGCCCGGCGCTCGTGGTCGGGGGCGGGACAGGGACCCCTGACCCCGACCCCCCGAGGCCCCGCAGCCCCTGAGAGGGCCGGCCAGGGCAGAGGGAGGGTCAGGGGGTGCACGGTGTCCTGGCCCTGCCTGGGGAGGGTCCCAGGAGCGGCGCTGCAGGTGGGCGCTGCGGGAGGGGTCGTTGGAAGAGGAGCGCCCTCCGGGCCGGGGGCAGCGAAGTCTGAGCTGGGGGGTGAGGATCGTAGGTCCAGGGAAGGGACGCGGGCTGCCTGGAAGGTTCCAGAAGACCCGTGGGGGGCGTCTGCCCCGCCTCCCTCCCTCCTATCCCAGGCGTCCCAGGCCCCAGCCCGGGAGGTTCTAGGCTGTGGCAGGGTCGGCGAGGGAGAGCCCCCGGTCCCGGGGGGCGGGGGAGACCCCTGAGGCCTGAGCCACTGAGCGCAGGGAGGACTGGGGGCCAGCGGGGCCCCCACCTGGCCTTGCAGGCTGCGGGGTGGAGTTGGAGGCCGACCTGGGGCTGCGGAGTGCCCGGCCTGGGGCGTGCTGGGCCGGTGTGTGTGTGTGTGGGGGGGGGTCCGGTCTGCAGGTGCCGTGTGCTGGGGTCCCAGGGCTGCAGATCCTGGGGAGGGGTCCGAAGTCTGCGGCCCCGCCCACTGGGCCTGGAGGGGGCCGCTGGCGGCCCTCCCCCACCCGCCCTATGGAGGTTGGCACTGCCAACCTCATTTTATTACTGAAAAATTCCTGATTTGTTTGCAAGTCGCAGGCATGAGAAAAGGTTCCGTGAGACGATTCCATAATTTACAAAGCATGAGGGGATTTCATTTGAATGCGTGCGGGAGAGAGCTTCCCTCTGCGGGTCACTCCCCAAATGCCCGCAGCAGCCGGGGCTGGGCCAGGCCAGAGCCAGGAGCCAGGAGCCAGGAGCTCCATCCGGGTCTCCCGGGGGTGCAGGGGCCCAGCACCTGGGCCATTACTGCTGCCTCCCAGTGTGCGCGTTAGCCAGGGGCTGGATTCGAACCCGGGTCTTCTGAGAGGGGCCGCCGGTGTCCCAAGCGGGGCGTAAGCGCTGTGGTCATTTTAATGGTGCATTTCTCAGTCGCGGTTCTGAGTTCGGGGCTCCGCCTGGTGCCCGCCACACACCAGCGTCTGCCTGATTCGAGACTCCCCGTGGCAATCAGTTTAGTTTAATGCCAGGGGAGCTTGGTTTCTTTGTAGCTGCTGATTGCGATCTGGAACCCAAACGGGTGGCTCCCCTGAGCGCGTGTTTTGCATAATTGCATAATTATTACTGGGAGCGACCCAGAGCCCACCGGGAAAGCCCGGCTCCCAATCTGTAGATCAATAGACGAAAGTGTGTTTAAAAGGCTGTCAGGTAGGATGAGCGGGGAGGAGAGATTCCTAATTAAAGATCGTTCATTCCGCCCAGTTGTGTATACGGAGACAGGGAGTGGTTTTCCAAGGAGCTGGGTTTCTAGGGAAGTCACTTAGGGTGACGCCGGCATCCCACATGGGCGCCGGTTCGAGTCCTGGCTGCTCCACTTCCGGTCCGAACTTTTAAAAAAAGTTCGTGGAAATGGGATTAAAAAAAACATTGTCTTGGTGCAAAAAAAAAAAAAATCTGTACATACAATGGTCATCAAAAGCCCATGAAAAATGAATACGATGGGAAAGCCAGGCATGCACTTTTTTATTTTTTGCATCCAAATAAACATCGCTGAATTCCAATTTCTGCAGACTCCTTGAGGTCTCCGGGTGGAAGCTCGCTCCCCACGTGGTTGGCGGGGAGGTGGGGCGTGGGGCCTGCTCCAGCCAGGGGGAGGGGCTGGGGCTGGGCCTCTGATGGGGGTGCTGGGGGAGGGGATCCTTGGTTCCCGGGCGCACCCGGAGCCCCTCAACTACGATGCCCCTCCCCGCCCCCACCCCAGCAGCTGCTGGAACCAGACACCTGGCTAGTTCTATAAATAGCCCGGGTTCCGAGGGAGGGCATGTGACCTTCCGACCAGCGAGGCCAGTCCTGTCCCCTCTCCGCAGGCGGTCCTCGGCGTGCAGCTGGTGGTGACCTTGTTCACGGCCACGCTCATGCACCGGCTGGCCCCACACTGCTCCTTTGCAAGGTGGCTGCTCTGCAGTGGCAGGTGAGCCAGGGGGTGGGTGGGAGGGGCGGTGGGAGGAGCCCCAGCCAGGGGGCGGGCCGGTGGGAGGAGCCTTCCAGGGCCACGCCCCTCTGGGCCACGCCCTCTCTCTCTAGTGGCATTGCTTTGAGTGTATCCGTGTT